TATATATATATATATATATATATATATATATATATATATATATATATAATTTGGTTAATTTTTTTTATTTTCAACTTGTCAAAGTCATTAATACGATTTTAAGTGGTTAAATTATAATTTGATTGATTGAAATATTAATATAAATTTGGATACGTACATTTAATTAATCAAATGTACATTGTTTGTGCTTTTAGTTGTTGTTGTTTTTTTTCTTTTTGAAACAATCAACTATCTAGTATATTAAATGATGCAATCATCGTTTCTTCGTATTTTGGGTGTATAAGGAATGAGTTAAAAAAAATTAAAAAAACCATAATATATTATTTATATGATTAAATATATATTAATATTTATAATTATGGATTTTAAAGCTTAATTTTAAGAAGTTTATGTTTTTCATGGTCACTATGATTTCCTTTTAATACTATGCTAATGATACGATCTCGTAGCATTTGAAATTTTTCTTTTAAAAGTACAAAACTTTTTAAAAATACAAAACTTTTTTTAATTAATGGGTAAGTCCTCCTAAAAGCATTTTTTACATAGTTAATGTTTATGTTTCTTTTGTCAAACGTTTCCAAGAGGTTTCTATCTTGTAATCAATTATCTTTTCTTTTTACATATTTGGGCATGCTAACTTATGTAAGAGCTTCGTTTTTTCATTTATTGATTGATAACATTCTTAATGAATTTGTTTATTGAAAAAGAAATTGCTTAGTACTATGGAAAGAATTAAGGTAATAATTTGATAATTATTGACTTATTGTCTTATAACTTTTAAGTTTACAAATAGTCTATTAAGCTTCTTCTTAAATTACAAAATGGATTCAAAATTTTGTTTTAATTAAGGATACATAAAAAAAAAGGATTGTTCACTATTAAATTGTCTATTCTGTGTGGTTCTAAGATGAATAAAGGTTTATAGGTTATTAATATTGTGTTAGAGAATAAAGTATATATATGATATGTTTAGCTCAAAAGTTTGCTTAAAACAAAATGACTTTGACTGAATTTATGTTTTTTCAATTTTTTAAGTTTAAGTATAAAAATTATGTTATTAAAATATTGTCAATTTGGTATGACATCAAGGGTGCATGTGATGTTGTTCTTGAAAATACTTTTTAGACACTAGGTAAAGGTGATTATATTAATATTTGGAATTGGTATCCTAACATTTAATACTTAAATTTGTTAGAATTCCATAGTTTGACAAAGTATGGTTATACCTTGTTGTTAGTTGGATATGGACAAATACTCCTTAGAATTTTCCTTCTTTCATTATCAATTTATGTGATTTTTCTTCTTTAATGGTTAATGAGCACGATGATATGTCTAATTGGATTTTGGACTATACATGTTTTCTCAAAAAGTTACAATTTTTTTTTACTCTTCTGATACATGGATTAAGGGAATTTGTTTGGTTAAATGACATGTCACCAATTAAAACTTTGGTTCATAGGAAGTTGTTGTCCAGTCATCTACCTATTGATTTGGAGGTTCAAAAAAATATGAGTGATTTTATACTTTACATGTTCTTGATGTGGTAATAATATTTAATATTTCTTTCATTTGTTTTCTTTATATTTGGTTGTTTGATTTATGAAATCTCATTGAAGTTTTTTTGCTTAAAGTGATTAAAGTAAATGTCATTATTGTAATTATTTGATGATTTGGAGAATGAGAAATAATAGTAGATCTCAAGATCTAATTGTGTTTTCTACTTTTATGATTCAGATTAAGGAGTTAGTGTGTATGACTCATAATAAATCTAAAAAACATAAAACTAATATCGTATATGATTTTTTGGTGCAGAAAATTTTCAATATTCAAATTAAGAAAGGTATGATGTTTTCATTTATATGACAAATTTCACATGTTAATTAACTCAAGGTAAATATTGATGATGCAACTAGAAAATTTAATGTGTTGGTGTAGTGAGAGGAAGTCAGGATGAATATGTGAATGATTTTTCAGTTTTTTCATGATTACAGACTTCTATTTATGATGGGTTTAGGAGGGAAATTTAAGTTTTGGAACATGCTTGGAAAAATGATTTTCATAAGCTCTAGTTAGAAAATAGTTATTCTTTAGTCTATAACGACTTTTTGAATCATCGTGTACTTCTAAAAAGTCTAAAAAAATGACGTTGATGCTTACATTTTTTTAAGTATATACAGTTCAAAGTTTCTTATGTTTTCATAGAAAAAATCCATCGTGGTAATAAATTAGCTAGTTTAACTTTTATAAAGAATAAAACAAGTGATCTAATGTTTTACCTCTATTTATTTATTTAGAGCCTTTTCATAATAGGTATAGTTTGTCTATTTTCAGTGAGATGTATCTTTTATCACTCCTTTGATATGGTCTCCTATGTTTTATTGTTTTATTTTATCTTTTTTAATAAATATTTATGTAACAATAAATGATTTATAAGTTTTTTTGTGTAATAATAAATGAGATGTCAATCTTCGTAGTAAAATCAACTTTAAATTACTATATATTAAAAAGATTATTGTTTTATTGTCAAATTTGGAATTTATATGAACTATTTAGGTCAAAATGTTATCATTAAAGAACCAAAATCATATATCATTAATTCGAAATAATAATTATTAAGATTGAAAAGTAAAACAAAATTACATTTTTAATCCTAGACCATTAAAATTTATAAACCGTGTTAACCAAATATGTTTAGATAATAAATCCATTGAAATTCTACTAGGTTGACTTTTTTATGATGAAAAATTCATAATAACACTAATAAGTTGACATTGTTTATATGAAAGACTCATCAAAATTAAATTGATTAGAGAGAATTTTATTAAAATATTAATAAATAAAAATAAAGAAGTGTAGATCAACTAACTTGTCCTAAAACTTGTCCTAAAATAAAGGCTAACCTTTATAGCTATAATTAAATTACAAAAAAGTAAAAAACATATTTGTTTAAACACCAATCATTTAATTCCAAATTAGAAAAGAAAAACATGAGAAATTCCTAAAAAATAAAAAGTAGGACAGCGAAACGAAAGCAAAGCTGTCGTTAACCTTGAACTTTATCCAATCAGACCTTCTCTCGCGCTTTTCTTCTCTTCTCTTCTCTTCATTTCCGATAGAAGCCATGCCCATGGATAGGCTTCTATCCTCTTCTCTTCTTCACGCCAATCTCAAGCCCTTCACACGATTTCACTCCCCAAGCTTCAATCTTTTCTCCTCGCCGCCTTCTTCCTTCACTTCAATTTCTTGCCACCATGAAAACCCATCATCTCCCTTGTCGGTTTCTGTTCCCAAAACCCTACCACCCCTTATCTCCTCTCAACTCATTCGTCCTCAAACCTCCACACCCCAATTCCAACCCCTCAATCAGATCACCACTGGGAACAATTTCCAGAAACCAAAGGTACGTGCTTTCTGCGGTTATGGTTGCTGCTTAGATCTTGTGTGCATTTCATGATGTTTGCATCTGACATCATGCTCATTCTTAATGCAACGGTGTTCTGTCTCATAAACTGTATCCTCTAAAATATTCTCTTCGTGATTTTAGTCAAAGGCATCTAACCATGCATTGATTCTTAGGGAATCCGTGCAATTTTAGTATTATGCCAAGAGGAAAATTATATTAATGTGGTTGATTACGTTACTTTTTTATTTAAAGGGATAAATTACTCGCCCTAGAAAATGGGACATTACCAACAAATTGGGAATTGTCATATATGTGCAGAAATCTGTTATAATCTGAACGGATGGTGCTATGTTGCTTGTGTACCATGCATATAACAGTTTTTGTGACTGTTACTTTTTCATCAATAGCTCTGCTTTGGTAATACTGTTTGTTTCTGGACTTGAGTTGAATCATAACCAAAGTTAGCTTTTTAATCAGTGTTATTACAGGTAAACCGTGATCATTAACTTATTTGTTGAATTGGGTCTAGCTGAGTTGAAATTTGGGTATACGGGTAATGTATAACTGATATTATTATTATTATTATTGTCATCATTGTTATTATTCATTTGTCGTGATATTTTTGGTCACAAGTATTTATTTGGCTTAAGGTTGCTAGGGTTTATGCTATATAAGACTCGATCCACACAGTTATTGCCTTTTAGAAGTTTGAACACGGTAGTGAAGCTTAAAAGTATCATTTTGCCATGTTGTTTTCAGGCAATAATAACAGCTCGGACATTGGCAGTACTGTCTGCTCTTGTTTTGCTCTTGATCCAGCCAGCTTTTGCTCCGGCAGCTTTTGCAACATTTCAAAATGCTGCCAAGACTGGTGGCCCTGCCGCTGCTGCAGTTGGTGGAAAACTTATCCGCACTGAGCTTCTAAGCAGTGCTTGGACTGGTTTCTTTGCTGGTTGCTTGCACACACTATCAGGGCCTGATCACCTTGCAGCTTTGGCTCCATTGTCAATAGGCCGATCCCGAATGGAGAGTGCTGCTGTTGGAGCCCTTTGGGGCTGTGGCCATGATGCTGGTCAAGTTATCTTTGGCTTGATTTTTTTGCTCCTAAAGGATCGACTTCACATTGAAATTATCCGAACGTGGGGCACAAGAGTGGTTGGCCTTACCCTGCTAGTAATTGGTGCTATGGGGATTAAGGAAGCTTCAGAAGTGCCTACTCCATGTGTTGCCTTGGAAAATGGTGAATGTGATGTCAACGTCTATGAATCGCGTGATAGTAATCCTGTAGTAGGAAAGAAGAAGATTGGTTTTGCTACTTTTGCCACGGGAATAGTTCATGGACTGCAACCAGACGCACTGATGATGGTGTTGCCTGCCCTTGCTCTGCCTTCACGGGTGGCTGGTGCTGCATTTCTCATTATGTTCTTATTTGGAACTGTTGTTGCAATGGGGAGCTATACGGTATTTATTGGTTCGTGTAGCGAGGCACTAAAAGATAGAGTACCTAGAATAACCGAGAAACTTACTTGGGCTTCTTCTCTTGTTGCAATAGCCCTTGGATTTGCCATCATCATTAGCCAGTTTTTTGGGTTTAGCCTTTATTAGTACACTTTAATGAGCCAGGAATCTTTTTTATGAATATCGTTTTGCTAAGAAAAAGTAGGGACGTTAGAGAGAAATTTGCTTGTTTGGAGTAAGGTATTATTTATGCAAAATGTGATTTTGATTTTGTCTATCATTTGACTACGCTTGTGAATGTATATATCTCTGGTAGGTTCAATTATTATGCAGCCAATAGCTGTGTAGCTGTTTCATTTGAAGATTTGGATTTATTTTATCAATATTCTGTTTATGCATGTGTTTTGTTATATGCCTTGGAACTCTTACGCAGTAGTATTATGTTACAGAATTAATACACTAGAGTGCTTCTCTAAGTCATATAACGCTGTTATGCAGACAGGACGAGAAATTAGTCATTACTTTTCCAAATATACAAGACAAGTGACATTGGTTCACTCATCTGACGAATCATGGCATAGGGTGGTATTAGTGGCGAATACCGTAAATTAGCAAAGTATATAAGAACAGGTAACATTCGATCACTTCACAATCAAAAGCATGCGCGCAAAAGTAGAACAATGTCTTGCAGTTACATATCACATAATGCACGGTATGAATGGTTCAGGTGTTTTATCAATCCTGCAAGCCCCGTGTCACACAGTAATACGAATTTCCATAAACATTTAAGTGAGAGTGTTACGAAGTGGAATAAAGGGTGTTTATTCAGTTTATAAACCCAACCCCCACGCACTTGAGAGAGAATATAAAATCAAAATCAGACATTCCTTCTCCTATAAAGGGATTTGAAATTTCACAACTAAACAAATATTTCTTTGCGTCGCATTGTAACTAACAGTGGGTAAAGAACAACGAATCTTTTTGTTACATGGAAAGGTAAATTATTTCGTTCAGCATTTTCTATTTCTTTCATTACAAATGTAGAAAACTGAACAATTCAAGCTCAATTTCCATCTGTGGCAATTCATATTAAATTTTGACCACATAACTTGGTACGAGAAGACGAAGGCAAATGATTCTCGTCGTGGATGAAACATCAGTTCTTATGTTTTTTCTCAATGTCATAAAGCACGCACGCATCAGCTGCTGTTTTCATCTGGAATCACAAGGGAATTAGAGCAGATAAATGCAGGACTCAATTTAATGACCAAGTAAATAATAATCAAAAGCATCAGAAAAAAAAACATGAAGAGTAAGTTGTTATACCAAGACCCTATCTGTACAGCTAGAATGTAAAGAAAACTCCTTTCATTAATGAATTCATGATATTAAGTTAATAAGTCAAGCCAAAGAGTTAATATATTCAAACTCGAACAATATTACATTGAGGCCGACAGAACCTGCTAGTTACTAAATATGTTGAATCTTAATCCTCATTTTAACAGCCTAAAACAATCCCTCAAATTATTATCAAGATTAATTGATAATGTGTGGAAAGCTTCTGCTAATTGAAGTAATGTCACCATCTCTAGTAGAATACAATTTTATAACAACTCAATAAAATATGGTTAACGAAACTTTGTGCCGATCCTTTTGCTTGGAAAAAAGACTGACAAATGATAATTAAACCAAAAATAAAAGTAGAGTACGAAAGATTTTCAAGATTCAAAATTGTTGTACTACTGCAATACTTCCAGGATGTTTATTCCAAAAATGTATGAACAATTAGTGCCACTAGATTCGTTAGACTTTGGGAATTCTTTTATTCTCTGACGTGTTACTTCTTTTAATTTCTTTTTTCTTCCTCGACTTTTCATTATTGACCGGGGTGGTCAAAATCTAAAAATGTGTACCCAATCATAAAAAAATGCAGAACATACTGACCTGAATAACATTTATAATTTGTTTGACTGCCCATCCAAATAAACTAGTACCAATTAGGAGAGAAAGTAACGACATCTTTTTCAAATTATTTGATATAACCTGGAAATAGAAACAAATGAGAAACTATGATGATCACGGCAAATAAAATGTCTTAAATAATTTAACACCAGTAGGGGGCACTTACGTCCACCAATTTCTCTGTTTGATTCTCCGCAAGATAAAACAGGACTAAGTAAATAACCTACACAATATTAAGGATAAGAATCCAAATAAAAAACTATTTATTAGAGAGTTTCCACAGAGATCAGGAAGAGGATATTGCACTGACCTCACATGAGACACAACAGTAAGCCATAAACATCCGATTTCCATAGTATGCCCTGAAAAGCCAGTTGCTGCTGTCTTTTACATCTTTATGACTAGCCTTTCCCGTCAAGAAAGTACTGCAATTAATTGAAAAAAGGACACATATCATCAAGGTTAAACCCAATAATTGCAGAATCAACAATAAAAATTAGGGAAAAACGCACAGTCAGTATGCATTACCTGTACATTTGCAGCCAGTGGCTGGCAATGTCTAGTGAAAGCAATGACAAAAAGATAAGGCCGGGCCTTTACACAAGTTCAACCCAAAAGTCAGGTTTACATTCTTAAAATAACAGTGACTAATGAATTTGAAAGGAAAATTTCTTACTGGTACAGTTGAGAAAGGACAACAAGTAGACAAGCAGTGCTAATTCTGGTATCAAGGAAGCCACATTATTTCAAAGCACACAAGAATTGAACAACATAAAGAAGTTATAACAGCACCGATCATCAGACATCTTTTGTATGCATGCATAGAGAGAGAGAGAAGAGAATAACCTGTCTGTTACCATGTCCAGCACAGCCCCAAAGGTTGACACTGAATCAAGAAAACAATACAAAATAAAGAATGCTAGGTTAATGTATTTGTTTATTATACAGAATAATTGTAATTTCAAAATAAAAATAGACAATTTAGGGAGATAGGTAATGTCCCAATTCCCCATTCAGGGCAAGCTACTGGCATATAGTGGTGCTTACACATGATACCAGTGAAAAATCACAAGCAGAATTTGAATCCAAAACCTTTTCACATTTGATGTTTTGATTATACCAATTAAGCCAACCCTCTTTAGCATGTATGCCATGTTATCCCTTTATTTTCTTGTTCAATATGGTCTATCAAGTGTTTTATTAAAAAGTGTGAAAGTGTAACAGAACGGAATCATGGGAACAAAACAAACATCTTTAACCCTGGGAGTTAGCACATGATCAAATTCGGTGGACTCTTCAGCTTTTTATCTAAATTTGCTATTAAATAACCCTTAGGTAAGTGAAAAATAGTAGAATAATATGTATGTTTGTTGATATGGCATCAGCATTAGAATTGTGAGAAAATCTGTATTACCTCAAATTCATACTGTATATGATAAGCGCCTCAGAGAACAAATTATAGCTGGGCTGTGATATATAGACATTCCCTCAGTTTTGAACTGATTTTCTAGATTTTAAGTTTCATATGATTTTGAAGGACTCAATAATCGATAAAAGAGTCAGTAAAAAAAAATCTTTACTTGTTCTCTCACACTAAACAGAAAGAAACTAAGGGTACAAATTAACAGAGATGATGTTCAAAAGCTCTAAAGGGTAAACTACAAGGAGTCAAAACACAATTAATCCGCAATTAACTTTTTCTGAAGGTTAGTGTGATGTATACAAATTCAATGGCATGCATTGTGGACTCAGATAAATTATGAGCAAGAATTTTCTTAGTTGAGCGCTGACATTATTTATGAATTCAATAGGAAAATCTTAACAGATAAACGTACTGTCATCTGACATCAACAAAAAAGTCTATACCTTGATTGAATTTGCGGGCACACCATCCATCGACAGCATCACAAACAAAGCTGGCACAACGAATTCAGCCAAATTATGTCACGCATTCCATAAAAATAACAAAAAAAAAACTTAATACAAGAGAAAGCCAACAAAATGGTATCCCACCTCAAAAAATAGAGAAAAGCGAACAAGGCTTTGTTTGTTAAACATTGGGAGAAGGCAAAACAGTTTAAAAGAACCCGTATGTATCCTGCATCACCATGGACACGGTCAGGAGTTAAGACAGTTTGTATTCTGGAGAACTATGACCAAGAAGTTGAGTAAAATCTCCTGAACGATCCAATAATAAACAGTTACACTAGTTACAATACCAAACATCGATTTGCTTAAAACAACAGTTGCTAACACGTGCTATAATAAAAGAGTAATAAAGCCTCTTGTTTTCCGAAAACAAATGTACCAATAAGAAAAATGACCAGAAAATTTTTCTGTTTCTCTCCGTCCATATGTCCCAAATCAGAGTTTTATGCCATTAATCTTATTAACGCAAGTATTAGAGTACGCCATTGTTGCTACAATGTGTTTTTTTAAGAGCATAGTTGCTGCAATACGTAAGTAAAAGTAGAAAGTAAATACCAACCTATTATATTAGGAATGTAAAGGTACACAGATAATTTACTGGATCTTTGTCCTGGTTTCTTTGCCATTGAAGCTTCTTTATATTCTAAAATTTCACCAATAAGTATTGCCAATCAAATATTCACCTGCGTGCAAGTAGTTTCCAGTAAGAAATCCATCAAAAATCCATGAAAACACGTGCTAAAATAGGTACTCACATCCCATGTCATCTACACATATGGAACATGAATTAAGTCGCAATCATCTACCTAACCTAACTATATCAAAATAAAAACGGGACAGACAACCAATAATCTGATGGTACCGCAAGTCAAAATCTATTAACGTACTTCCTTAGTATATTCTCGCCTACCGAAACAAGCAAATACCAATTCTCCTCTCCACAATAACAGTTTCAGATAACATAACCATAAGCTTAATTTTAGTGTGTGTTGTGGATTTCTTCTACAAAAAGTCAAATCATAAATCGATGCCAAATCAAAAAAGATTCTCCCCTGCCCCTTAATTTCAATTGAAAGTCACGAATTCGAAAATTCAGTGTACCGCCCAAGCCCTAGCTCGCGTACCGCTGAGGACGGTTCCTCATAGGACACGTTGGTTGACGGTGTAGCGGTGATGCTATCAGTAGCTAGGGCTTAATCAGAGGAAATTGAAAGGAATATCAGTATCAACGAGAGAGATATTTATACGATACCGTTGCCGAAGAGAATGTGGCGGATTCCGGCGACAGACAAGGTGCGGCTGGCGGTTGCAATGACGGATTGATCCAAACGGGGAACAAACGTGAGGTGGCACTGACTATGTTTATTTTGAGCAAAACCATGTGTT